GCGAATCACAAGGGAAAACCACGACTAAAGACGGTTTCGCAATACAACACTAATTAGTTGTCAGCTTCGCTGATTTCACTGGTTGGAAAACTTCAAAATAGGATAATAGCGCTTAATTAACTTCGTTCATCGGGATCGCAACCGACAGTCGCCATATTAAGGTGTATTATATTAAACTGAAAAGTAGTCATTCCTGGTTGATACATGCGGATACAAGTGCCATTGTTGGCTACTACACTGTGCCCTTGTCTTAACCGTAGAACACACATGCAAATGTAACGTAATGGACTTGTCGTTAAATAGCGTCTAGACACGATTAGGTTTAAGGAAGTACGTGCCGGTAAAACAGGTTGACTTCCGAGACAGTTCTTAAACAGTACGGCCTAACTTGAACAAATGAGATTTCGGTAACTATAGGCGATGCTAAACCTTAGCTTCGATCCATTTCATAGAGAAAAAAAAAAGGTAACGCCTCTTAAGAAGTGATGAGCTATAGGTTCGTACAGCTGTTCCACAAAGTTTCAAGCATTCGCGAAATAAGGGCCTCGGGGTAAAGTTGTTCGAGGCCTGCCTCTGAACATGCATACTTTGCTTGCACCTCAATACGTGTATTAAAGCACAGCCAATCTATTGGCGAACTTTTTTTACTTAAGTTAATGTGTTTCCTAATCATAATAATTGATCAAGTGATGTTGACGTATTAAAAGTCATTCAAGCCATTCAATTGTCAACAGTCCGTCTTTATACCTTTGCGTAGTATAAATAGACGCCTGTTCCGACAACGAAGTTAACTAGCGCTTTTTGTGACTTGCTTACATATATTACCTGGTGTAACGAAAATTGTTTACAGAACACTCAGCCATCTTGGCTTGTGTTGGGAGGAACACATCTCAATACCAAGTCTTCAAAAATTAGCTTATCCCTTATATTAAAGTGAAAACCTTTTTTCAAGAGTCTCTTATCTACATATATAGCGCAAATCACGATAGCTTGAAAAGCAATAAAGATATAAAAACGAGACGCCAACAACAAATTAGAAGCGTATTTCTTATGTAAGCCTTCTGTTAATCCGTGCAAGATTATTAAATAGCACTATAATTAACTAATTATTAATAATAAACTGCCTGTAGACCCATTCTGTGGCACAAACGCGGTTGATGGTGCAGGAAATGTAATGTTCTTAAGACATCAATTTTCTGCCTTTGCAAAACTCGACGCATTAGACAGGCTCTGTGTGCCTTTGTAAGGGCTACCTATTAACAGGCTCTAGTGTAGGTTTATATTACAAAAGCTGGATTTTAGGTGAGTTAGAAGAGAAAGACAGTAACGTATTCATCGAAGCTCAAAAATCACTGTTCTTCTGCCAGGTATGCCAGAAATGCGAGAAAAATAGTTGTGAACTGAAAAATAGAGATGACTGTGTTGACCGTATCAATTCTGTACGGTGAACCTAAACCTAAGATCCTAACCGTAACCAAGCTTCCAGTAGCTATGCATGAACATTTTGGAGGAAATAACTGGCCTTCAGGAAGGTGCACTCTACTTGTTATAAGAGCGAAACTGAAGCCAAAACACAGCTATAGTTTTTGCCTATGAAACTGTGGCCCTTGTCAACTGTAGTCTCTAATATCATAAAAGGGCCAATATACTTTATATTATCGAAATAAAAATTCTTAGTGTAGATATTCAACCAGAAATTGATCCATAGGAGTATATGAGTAGATTATAGATCATTGTCCATTAAGAAATCTATATTTAGAATAATACACTGTATGATTCAGTCCTGCCGATTGCTTCCAGGCTGAACTGCAGCTGCTACTTCTGCCGCCGCCGACGCCGTCGGTTTCATATGCGTGTATCTATACAAATGAATCCGCTTTGTCAAATGGTTGGGTAGCCGTACAACGTAGGCAGAAATATATAGGCATCTGTCGTGTCGTGATATGGCTATTTGTTAAGCTAGCCATGGATTCTAGACAAGAGCGCCCTGTGAACAATTGCTGAGAAAGACACTCAGCCCACAGATTTGTATTCGCATCTCTTACAATATTTTTTAGATTTCAAAATTAATATAAATTGAACAACGACGATATAATAGACCTCAAATAATAGTAGCTTGAAAAACGCAAAGTACCCATATTACATCTGACCAATTTGTTACATACCTTTGAAGTGTTCAGTATTATATGCTTTTGATAGGCGAGCTTTTGCCTTTGATAGATAGATCTTGCTTAGGAGCTTTGCCAGCGTAAATAACGTGCTATGAATGGAGCAGCGTCGTATCCACATTATCCTCGATACAAACACTTCGAGAACCGGCTCGCTCGCTAACACCTTGCTTCGTAGTAGGTATGAATAGAAAGAGATAAAATTCAACTAGAAAAAATATTGTTTCTGACCAAAAAACTCAAAATGAATACGGAAAATGTGATACCATTTTTGAACATAATGTAGCTGAAGGCGGGAGAAGTAACATAGTATCTGCATGTCCATAAATTCTGTGACTATATGCGTATGCGTGTATTGTTTAATTTAAAGACTAACGTTCGATCTGAGCTTCGTAACTATAGATATCAAAACTAAACTGTAAAAAGAAGTAGTTAACTGGGCGTCAATCGTTCAGTACAGGCTATAATGACGTATCCTCAAACTTCACTTGCATCGTTGCAGTTCTAAATGGACTCGGATGTCTCAACTTCGTATAGGTGAAGATAGCCGATTGCCATATACGTTAGCAATGGAAGCTACATGCTTTGTAAGCACTGTGCTAGCTTACATATGACTTTCTACATCTCCAGTTTTTTCTGTTAGGTCAAATGAATTGAAGCAGGTCACCTCCCTCAGAAGTTCTATTTGGATGTGTTCGGTTATATTGGTTTTTGACATACATCCTTAAGCATGGCTTGTTATCTAATACTCTTGAATGAAAACAAAGATAATTGTTAGAGATTAAGACAGCGTATAGTATACAGCAGTTGAAAAGGTGGTTAGTTGAGCCGCTACCACATTGACATAAGCTATCCAGATTTTTAAATACGCATATACGTATTTGTTCCAGATGATTTGTTGCCTGGCCGATTTGAGAATCTTATATATATATATATATATATATCTTGAATTTACTTCGATCGAAATTTCATAGGTTCTTAGCAGTAAAATTCCTTTGTTGCTTAAAGAAATGTAATAGTATTTAAGCTGATGACTAACAGATTATTGTTTTTTATGAAAATAAATCTTCCATTTACAATGTACGGTCATTTAAATATTGTCTAATATTTTATAAGAATGTGTTTATATCAATAGGATTGATCCTTCCATACGGACATTTTCTTTTGGTGGGGCCCTAAAATGTCCTATATAAGCGTTTTTGACTTTGGGACATTGTGTTGTTAAATGCTTAAACTAGTTTTATCCTATATAACGTTCACCTAAGAGAGCACGTCGCCATGTTACAGGAATAGAATTTACTCTGTTTTAAAACGTCTATTGCTTATTTGCCTTGTGTCTGTGTTGAGTAAACCGTAGCGCGTAGATATTACAAACAAGAGCTAATCTCAAAGAGGTTCCTGTGTGAATGCCGATGTACAAGTTGCTTGTTCGGCAGTAATGTTGAAGCGATTATACATATAAAATTATATGATATATATATCACGGGAAAACACCTTCGATTATTTGCATAGAGATGACGAAAGGGTCGCATTTATATGTGATTTTCTATTAATTATTAATTAACT